ATCAAGCCTACTTTAAACACACCGACACACCTTTCTACACAGAAGCCCAGGGGCCATAAAATTGTGCGACCTGGTTGCAGATTGTGAAGTGCCCAAAGAGAGGGGGGGGGAATCAACCAATCAACACCCTGAGATGTTAGTTTTCCACAGAACAGGATCCCCATGTCCCCGGGGGCCAGTATCCAGCCCCAGCATCTCCCCACCCCAACGACAGTGGCACAGCCAGACCCAGAGAGAAATATAAACATACACACACACGTACATTAAGCTTGGTGTGCGTGTCGGTCGAGGATGAGGGGCGGAGTGGGGGGGGATCTGCAAGGGCAGAAAGTGGGCAGACCCTCCTTCCTCCTCCAGAGAAATCCCGCCCTCAAGCCGGGGGGGGGGAGATAGGGACCAACCACAACCACACCACCTGAAGGCCCCCCCCCTCTCTCTCTTCTCTTTACCTTTGCGGAAGGGCATGGCCGCCCCAGGTGTGCCTCTCTCGCTCGCTCGCTCGCTCGCTCGCTCTCTCCCCACCTGGAGAGGGGCAGGGGGGCGAACGAGGGGCCGCTCCTCCTTCTGGCAGCAGCGTCCCCGAGGCGAAAAGCGGCCAACTTGGTCAACGCCTCAGACGCGTCCTGGGCGCCTTGGAGGGCGAAGGAGAAAGGAGGAAGCCCGCGGGCAGGATGCGGCCCGGCCTGGCCCCGCGCTTCCCCCGCCTTGCCCCGGCGGGGCGGAACGCGGCACCCTTCCCAGAAGCCGGAAGAACCTTTTGAGACCAAAACAAACACATATTTTGGTGGCCCAGAAGCCACTGGCAATAGTGCGGTTAAAAAATATTGTAAATAAATAAATAAATAAATAAATAAATAAATAAATAAATAAATAAATAAATAAATAAATAAATAAATAAATTCAAAAGCATCAATTATTTGGCGGTCAGCCTTCTTTATGGTCCAGCTCTCACTTCCATACATTGCTACTGGAAAAACCATAGCTTTGACTATGCGGACCTTTGATAGCATCTTAAAAAGCAGAGGTCATGTCTCTGCTTTTTAAGATGCTATCTATATTTGTCATTGCTTTCCTCCCAAGAAACAGGCGTCTTTTAATTTCATGGCTGCTGTCCCCATCTCCTACTTTCATGGAGCTCAAGAAAGTAAAATCTGTCACTGCTTCCCCTTCTATTTGCCAGGAGTTGATAGGACCAGTGGCCATGATCTTAGTTTTTAAACTAACTCCGTGGACAGAAACAAAAGGCTAAAATTAAAAAATAGGGTGGGTTTTTTTTTTTAAAAAATGTAACCACATTCTTAGATGAAACTTAAGTGCTGCTGGAGCACAGAACCAAATCTGATGTCTAGTTCTCACAGACAGTAGATTGATAGCCAAATGCCCTGTAGTATTAACGACTTGTATTTTATAAGCGTTTTATGTAAGCCAAACCATTTTATGAAGACTCTGCTTCAATAAGCATGTTGTGAAAACAGAGACATAATCTTGATGAGTGGTTCTTAACCTTGGGTTACTCAGGTGTTTTTGAACTGCAACTCCCAGAAACCCCAACCAGCACAGCTGGTGGTGCAGGCTTCTGGGAGCTACAGTCCAAAAACATCTGAGTAACCCAAGGTTAAGAACCACTCATCAAGATTATGTCTCTGTTTTCACAACATGCTTATTGAAGCAGAGTCTTCATAAAATGGTTTGGCTTACATAAAACGCTTATAAAATACAAGTCGTTTAAAAAAGCAGTTACAAACATTTTAACAGGATTCCCATAGAAAATCAAGCAGTTTTTAATCCATTAAGGGTAGATATACACTGATCAGTCTCAACATTTAAACCCCCTGCCTAAAATCATGTAGGTGTCCTTTATACTGGTGAGGTGTGGCCTCAATATGGGTCAGATTTGGTGTTCCAGCACATTTTACCTCAGATTAAGATCTGGGGAATCTGAACTCTTGGTCACATTGCTCAAACCCTTCCTGACCAATCTTTGCAGTGTTGGCAGGGGGCACTATCCCAATCAAAGAGGCCACCGCCATCAGGGAAGACCAGTGCCATGAAGGGGTATGCATACGTGGTCTGCAACAGTTTATGGATAGGTGGTACCTGTCAGAGGACCAGCCACATGAATGCCAGGGCCCAACGTTTCCCAGCAGAACATGGCCCAGAGCATAAGACTGCCTCTGCCAGCCTGTCTTCTTCCTGCAGTGCATCCTGCTGCCATTTCTTCCCCAGGTGAACAATGCACACACACACACACACAGCCATCCACCTGATCTCAAACAGAATGCGATTCATCAGACCAGGCAATCTTCTTCCATTGCTCTGTGGTCCAGTTCTGATGCTCATGTCCCCATGGCAGGTGCTTTCCGTGGCAGGTAGGGTCCATCGTGGACATACTGACAGGTCCGCGGCTACACAGCCCCATGCACAGCAAAATGCAAATTGCAATGCACTGTGACAGAACTTTCAGCAATTTGAATTTGTGTGAGCCTTCGCTCCCCACCCACGTCAATGAGCTTCGGGCACCTGCAACCAGGACAGTGGTTCACCAGTTGCCCTTCCTTGGACAAAGAAAGAATAGAGTATTTATATTTTCCCTTCTGGAGCGGAGCAGAGTTTTGACGGGGAGTATGGCCCCAACTGTTGCATCTTCAGTCCCTCTGGGCTGCCCGTGATGCGTCCCTTCTCTACCTGTTGCCAACACGTTCTTATAATCTCCCGTTTCTTTTCCGGTCACTCCCTTTGTACTGTGTTGACTTTCCTAAAATGTAGGCCTCAAAACCATCTGTTGATCAGCCATTTCGAGGACCCAATTTCCAACCCCAACAGAAGTTCAGAGAAGCAGTGGTTAAACCGCTGTACTGCAGCCAAAACTGTGCTCACGCCCTGGGGTTCAATCCCAGGTAGTGGCTCAAGGTTGACTCAGCCTTCTATCCTTCCGAGGTCAGTAAAATGAGTACCCAGCTTGTTGGGGGGGCAATGTGTAGCCTGCATAATTAACTTGTAAACTGCTCAGAGACTGCTTGAAGCGCTATGGGGTGGTATTTAAGCAGCACACTTTTTTGCTTTGCTTCTAACACCCCCCACAAATGCCCTCCACATGTGCCCCCTCCCCATTAGTATCTGTATATACTATTTGTCCAAAACAACAAAAACTCTCCACCTGTTGAACTGGTAAATCCACTCTTTAAATATCTCAAATCAAACTGCATTATCCATTCAGTCGGAACTGATAAATCCACTCTTTAAATATCTCGAATCAAACTGCATTATCCATTCAGTCATATCCAACCCTTGTTGATTCCGTGAGCCAGCCTACCCCATGATTTCCAACCCTGAACGGCTTCTTTCCATTGTTTTGTATCCTGGCCAGCGTCTGCTTTGATTACGGTACATCCAATCAACGCGTTCTTTACTGCCCTCATTGTCTTTTACCGCTAACCATTCCGAGCACAGCGTCTTTCTCCAACGACGACGATCGCATGACGTAGCTGAAATAGTGAAGTCCAAGTTTTGTTGTTTTTGCCTTCCAGGGACACGTCCGGTTTTATGCGCATCAGGACTTCTTTATTCTTTATCTTTGCAGTCCATGGAATGTGCAAGAGCCCGTCTCGCTTACTTTGAAAGCCCTGGTTAGAGTCACAATAATTTGGTTCTGACTTGACAGCACGGACAACCATTTGTGGGAGACAATTCGTGACCAGCCTCTTCACACGTTCTTTTTCTTGCTTGCACTCTTTGGAAAGACTGATGACCTGGACTGTCCGAGGGCCTATTTCTGCCCGCCCCTGTGATCTCCAGTGAAGACTTGCTTGCACTTTTCATCTTGACCCACAGACACAGACGGCAGCTCTTTCGGGAACCAGCCTTGCTTTGAGAGCGCAGCCTACCACTTGTTGCCCACAAAACCTAACGCTGTGTCAGTAGCAGAACAACAGCCAGGCTAAGGAGTTCCTGACCAAGCGAGAAGAAAAGGACCCCAGGGCATGGCGATTGGTTCCTATTCCTTGGATATAGGCAAGTGGGGCTTGGAACCAAACCTCGAGCATGACCAGCTTTGAACCTCTGCTGTGAACTAGTTATTCTTGAGAAAGCGGTGGTATCTCTCATTCCAGAAAACAAGTATCATTTGGGCTGGATGAAAACTATGAACCTGCCCTTCTCTTGAATTTGGCCTTTACACAGCCTTATAGCATTTACTCTGAACAGCAGCTGCAGCAAATCTGAAACAAGAACCCAAGAGTAGCCCTGTGGGATCTGACCAAAGCCGATTAGTCTTGAATGCTTGTTCATACGCAGGCCAGGTGTGCAGCCGCTACACAGCCTCCACTGCATGTTCCCCAGGCAACTGATCTATAGAGTCCTTCTGCTTCTGAGCCTGGATCCAACAGTCAGCCTGACTAGTAGACCCTGGTGGTCCCAACCTCACCAACCTCTGACAGCCAACCGTGAGAGCAGCCAGCATTACATCTGGTGGCACTGAATGCCCCTGTTTAATTATGTCCTGTTATATGGTCTGGAGCATTTGAAGACAGGAGGGCCTGGCGTGCTCTGGTCCATGCAGTCACCAAGAGTCAGACACAACTAACCGACTAAACAAGAACAACATATGCTCTGGGGGTGGGGAGAGAATGGCTTCTTGACTATCTACGCTTGATTCAGATTCAACGCCAAACAAGAGTCGAGAACTACATTTTAAAAAAAATCTATACTGACCTGTTTCCTTCTCCCTCGTGTTCTGACTTCCATTTAGCTCTCAAACGTGGTTGGATTAATCTGGACATTACAACAAACTCTGGATCATCCCAGAATTAGGAGTGAGAGGGCACACCATAGGCTGTAATGCCAATCAGACTCTTGGGCAGCAGGAGAAAAAAATTGAGATTAACACTTAAAGAGTCTCATCAGCAAATTAGAGAAGAATGCTGGAGCTCTATGGTGGCTACTGCATTTTTGCTCAAAGGTTGCTACAGCGTGGAACTGAAGAAACACACATGATTCAGTAGTGGTTATCCCTCGTTATGCCTCAGCTATTTAAACAGCAACAGCCCAAACCGAAACAGACAGTATCTGTAAGTAATTTTATACAACAATTAAAAAAGAAATCGTGTCCATCATAATCAATTAAAAAAATATTCAGGGGCTTCTTTCCAGTTTGCTAGAAATGATGCCATCCACGGCTTTGCTCCCAGAAGACAGATGAAAACGGTGAGCTGCCAGATTCAACACGTCCACGCTCAACTTTCAAGGGAAAAGAAAAGGAACTCAGACTTGCTCGGCAAGGTCCAAGATTCTGAATTTGTCCAGGTTATAGAAACATGCCTTCACCACTCGTCCTCCAAAGTACCGTCCATTCAGGTCAACCACCGCTAGAATCGAGATACAAAATGTAGGCATCAGACACAGAATATTTCACTAGGTAAAGACATATTCCAGATGATGAGCAACAGGGCTTGTTTCTGTCAATCTGAGCTGGGTAATACATGGTTCATAGAATAGCTAGAATCCTTATATGACATCCTTATATGAGGAAGAAGTAAAGGTAGGTACAGTGGTGCCCCGCACAGCGACGTTAATCCGTTCCAGGATTAACGTCGCTATCCGGATTCTTTGCTATGCGGGAGGGGAAAACCCATAGGAACGCATTAAACTCCATTTAATGCTTTCCTATTGGGAGAAAACTCACCGGTAAGCGAAGAATCCCGATCCGGCCGCCATTTTCGCCGCCTCGGTAAGCGAGGCGCGAAAATGCTGCAGGCGGCCATTTTCCCCCAGTTGGGCGGCGCTTGCTTCGGCTGTGGATGCCTCCCCGCAGGTTGCACCGCCCAGCTGGGGGGAGAAGGTTCAGAGCCCCCGCGGTGGACGCTTCCCTGGAGGTTGCTTTGAAGGCAGCGCCGCCCAGATGGGCGGCGCTGCCTTTCCCCGGAGGTTGCTTTGAAGGCAGAACCACCCAGCTTGGCGGCGCTGCCTTCAGAGCAACCTCCAGGGAATCGTCCACCGCCGGCGCTCGGAGGCAAGCGCCACCCAGCTGGGGGGAAATGGTGCCTATGGGGAAAAATCGCAAAGCAATTTTTCCCCATAGCTACCATCAGTATGTGATCGCTTTTGCGATCGCAAAATCCGCATCAGTATGCGGATTCGTCGTTAAACGGGGCACTCGTTATACGAGGCACCACTGTATTTCATGTCCTGTGCCCTTTACAAATAACTAAAAAGGGGGCCACAAAAGAACAAAGAGGTCTACTAGACCAAAATATAAAATTTACCTAGACCAAACAGTGGGTTCAAGGCAGGCAATGGGTTAGAAGGCGGATTTTAAGAAGCTATCATGACATCCACAGCTTAAGCTTTTGCCTCATCACCTAATGGGAACATCACCATCATCTCAGAACTGCAAAGTTGGAAGGGACCCCAGGAATCACTGAGCCCAGCCTCTCCCAAACTCCTAACCTCTCGCTCTGCACCCAGATGTCTAAACGGCTGTGCTACCCAGCACTTTACAATGCCAAAAACTTAAATGAATCCCATGTCATAAACTTCAGGACCAAAAATATTAAACAGACAGTTACCTTTAATGGCAGATTCAACTCTTTCAAACTCTAGAAATATTCTCACGGCTTCGTCATCAGGAGCGCCCGGAATCTGGATCAAAAACAAACAGCGGCAATGAAAGAGAGGTCAACCTGCCCATGACCTTTTCGATCAAGGAGGTTCAGCACGACCACGGCTAGCACAGCAGCAACACAACTGTTGCCTTAATAGACAAGGATCACCACCCAGTGGTATTGAGGAAGTGCACAAAAATGACAGCCGTACTTTCTTATTGGACCTCAACTAACATTGTTCCTTTTACAAAGTACTGAAACAATCACAATTTTAAAATTTGTGATGTATTCAATAACAGTTACTCTTTACTTTCAACCTGTCGGATTTCTGGGATCATCAGGGGAAATTTGGAGTTGCTTTTTTTCTATTGTTAAGTTTACTTAAGAAAATAAAAAATGTTAATAGTGTTAATAACACATTACAAATACAGTACTCAGTACTAGCTGCTGGGCGATTTTTCTTTTTTAAAAAAGCAATGTTAATAAGAAGGCCTCAGCATTTTAAAATAATACCATTCCAACAAACTCTGCCAACATTCTTCTACACGTACACCAGAGACCCTCAAGGACCGCTTTCAGTCTGAGATGATGAGTGACTCCATATTCCTGTCTGATGAGTTTTGATCCACAAACAGCCGCTATAAAAAACGAGAGCAGTAGTACGAAGGGCTATCCTATCAGTTGGCGCCTGCCAAGTTGACTTAATGTCAGAGATTAGAAAGTATGGCAATCTCAAGGACTCCATGTTAGTGCTGGGAAATAATCAGGTTGGTCAAATTCACAGTACATTTGAAAAACATGCACGCAGGAAAGAACTATCAGTTTGCAAGCAAACTCAGGGAACAAACGGTGTGTTGTATCAAAGTACACCTTCAGTTCGGGAACATGGTCTTGCATATTTAAACCTGACCTGATGTAGACAGAAGATGCTTTAGTACAAGAGTTCCACTCATTATGCTTAGAAATAAGGACAATATATTGCTTGATGAAATTTTGTTAAACTCAGAAAGGATGCATCGTATGTTGGAGCACTCTAAGAAAATATTGCACATATTTTAGCTGGACTTAACCCACATGCACTTTGGAAAAGAACATTATCCTTTGTATTTTAAAGTTTGGGGAGGGGAAGAAGGCTCACAGATGGGACAGTTGGGCTCAATTTCTAGAGATTTCTCACTTCATCCTGTTTCTAACACTTTTGCATTTCACCTACTGCAACTTCTTTCCTTGTGCTAAATCTATAGTACAATGTCCAATGAAATGTTGGTGCCTTCTTAAAAAAGGAGTCATAATTGGCGGTGGAAAGGCTAGCTTATACCTCAAAGATGACACACTTCCCAACTTTGCCATATTTTTCACATTCCTCCTTGGTTTCACCTTCAAGGTCTTCATCGACCTCCCCAGCTCCTACCATATTCTGCAAAAAAGAAGAAGAAGAAAAAAACAGAAAAGAAAAGTCAAGTTAACGAGCAGACTTCAGGGTAGAAGCCACACAGCTGCATCTCCACCTTAGCTGTCTGAGCATTTAGAGAAGAAAAAAATGAGCTTTGTTTTCTAAATGCAGAAACACAGCTAAGAGAGGGCTAATGATTCGTTAATTTTATTCCTATTCTGCCTTTCTCCCAATAGAGGAGATCAAGTCAGCTTACATAAAATGAAGGCTCAAGCAATGGTTTTACTACGAAGGGCCAACCTCACTTTCAGTTATGCTCCATCATGTTCCAATAAATATTCCAATGAAGCAGTGGAAAATCATGGAAGATAAGTCATCCCATTAAATGGGTCACATTCCATTATACAGTGGTGCCTCGCAAGATGATTTTAATTCGTTCTGCGAAAATCGTCATTTTATGAAAAAATCGTCTTCCGAGGTTCCCTATGCATTGGTCTAAAAAATAAAAATCTTGTGAAGCATCGGTCTCAAAAAAATATAAATCTTGTGAAGCATCAGTCTCAAAAAAAGTCTTGCGAAGCACGGTCATAGAAAAAAACATCTTGTGAGGCACCATAGTGATCGCAAAAAACAATCGTCTTGTAGGTTTTTCGTCCCACAAGGCAATCGTCTAGCGAGGCACCACTGTATTTGACCCAAATAATTTTGGGGATGTATCCATCACTGGGTCTTTGGATAAAGCGCCAGATGGGGTTTCTCAGTCGACCGCTTCGGCCATCAACCAGGCTTTGAGCCCCCTTTCCCTTCCTCTTGCAGAGAAGAGGAAGGAGTGAACCATGAGCCCGATCTTACGATTCAGGAGCACCTACATATGAAGCTAGAGATTTAAGAGGCTGAGATTTAAGAGGCAGGCCTCCATAGGTTGGGGCTTTCCCCCCTGCCCTTTACATCTTCATTTTAGTCTGCTAATCCTCTAGGGCAGGCAATCTGAAGGCTAATACTGTAAGAGAAGCTGGCCATTCTCCTGCATCTTATAAACTGTGATCTTCCTGGACACAATCCCAACCAGACCCTTAACGCCATAATTCCAGGAAACAAGATATGAACCTTACCCGCAGCAGGACCACTTTGGTAGGGCACTTTAATATCTCTGTCAGAGGATTTGAATCAGATTTCTTTGATGCATCTGCTATTCAGGAAAGAAAGGGGAAAAAAGGCAACAGCGCTGCTATATTAAATGCCAAATCATTACTACGTTTTGAAACCTCAGGCCAATTTATCTTTGCATGCAGGAGAGAGCAGTGAGGTCTCCAGAGAAGCACAGACCTTGAAGCTGGTTGCCTGTTTCAGGATGCGAAAAATATCATTCTCAATGAAAGAAGGGGGAAAGCAAGACGCCTAACTACGGTTGCCACATCTGCACATTACAATAAACTAGAATCCAGACCAATTCTGCTGTGCAGTGAATGAGCTGCCGTACTGGTACATGCTGCTGGATCGTTCCCACTTGGTTCTTGTTGCTCACAAGCTAAGGATCTCCCATCCATGGTTTTCTGTGGCCATGTGAACCAGAACTCTGGTCTGTCTCTCAGAGAAAAGCCAGAGTGATTAGTCAAGAACTGATCAGGAAAGCTGCCTTCTTGGAGAAGACACAGGCCCTGGGTTGCACGCAACGATTCTGGCTTATTTGTGACATAGGAACACAGGCTGCAAAGGCAACTAAACGTACAGCCAAGCTTTTCTGCTCCTTCATAAAACTCGGATTATGAATATCCCACCTTTCAATATAAAAGATTTTTTTCTTACTGTGATTGAAAAATGTTAAAAGGAACATTCTTGTCTGTACAATAGGTACAGATTATTTATTGTTGATTTGCTGTTTTTAACAGTACATAAAAACTAGTTATATTGAACTAGAAGACTGTATTTTACGTTGTTGACTACTATCATTTCTCTTACTGAATATATGTACCATATTAATTACATTTCCTGCCTTCTTAGTTTTCAATGTTCTTAATTAATGTTAACACACAGGGCCAGCCAGCATAATACAAACAGATTCTTACAAGAACTTTTAAAAGCCCTACTGTAGGTGTTCTCTAACTGCAATTCCCAGGAGGCCCAGCCAGCACTGCTAGTGGTGAAGGCTTCTGGGAATTGTAGTCAAAGAACACCTACATTACCCAAGGTTGCGCTCGTAATCTCAAGATTACACCACTGTAATGCGCTCTACGTGGGGCTGCCTTTGAGGCTGCTGCGGAAACTTCAGGTGGTGCAGAATGCCGCGGCCAGACTTCTCAGTGGTGTGAAAAAATACCAACACATTTCAC